CCAAAAAATCTGAAAATTCAGTGACCGTTTTGAAAGAAATTTCAAACTTCAGTGACCGTTTCTGAAACTTTGAAACTTCAGTGACCGTTTTGAAATTTTCAGGTAACTTCAGTGACCATTTGTGAAATTAACCCGTGTATAATATTACCAAGACTCCGCGCTTTCTACTACTTAATTAGCGCCTGTCTTCATTTTGATAAAAAAATATATTTTTAATATATTTTGCTAAAAATTTATGAAATTTATGATTGAAAAATTGATAAAATTTGTGATCGCATGAGAAATGTAATTGAAAATAAGTTTTAAAAAAATTATTTTAAAAAATAAGGCCAGATATAGAGTCCGTTTGGTGTACATTAAAATTAGAGAATGCATTTTTTGAATTGATGTGATAGGGAATATGTGGTTGAAAAAGAAGGAAAAGTTATTGATGAGAGGAAAAATATTATTTTATTGAAAAATGTGTGGTTGAAAATGAGTAGAAGAATGAGAATGAAAAAAATAATGTGGTTCAAACATAGGCATAGTTTAATATTATTGATAAATAATAACTGATAATGAAAGTCTAAGTACAAACTGGCACGAATTTCAATGATCACACTCTTATCGGAACATGTAGTAAAAATTGTACCATCAATCCCCAACTTATTGTCACAAAAGCATTTTGATCATGGACCGATGGACGTTTAGAAGGGCGCAAGTGGGTCCCCAAACAATTTAATATGTAGAATAGAAATCGTTTGATACTCGTAAAAACATATATGACTTCAAATTTAAAGGCATCAAATTAACTTTATAAAATCGCATTTTAATGTCACGTGACAATTTAACATAAATTGATTATCATTTGTGTAATATTTCCAAATGTTTTAATCCCGCATGTAAGAAAAATAACCAAAATTGCATAATTTGGTCATTATCAACATGTTATAATTTTAGTATTTACCTAATATACATGTTTATTTCAATCATAAATAATTTGTCACAACTTAAATTTTGACGATAATGCAGGTGAAATCTAAGAAAATGACGGGTGTGGATCACAATTGTTTTGAAAGGGTGAAGTGATTGGATTGAATACCCATTGAGGACTGTGCACATGACACTTCTAGATTTATTAGAACTTCGTAAAAATGTTAGATTCTGTTCAACACTAATCGATAAGCAAAAAAAAAAATTTTTTTATAATGCTTCAATTTTGAATCTCCCTACATGTATATCAAGATTAACGCAAGAAATTACATAATGTCACATGATAATCTATCATTTGATCGTTTAAAATACAATCATCTTTTTTTATCTAATCTTTTTTCTCAAAATCATTTTTGATAACAGCTTATGTAACAAAATTTCTCAATTTCTACGTTGATTCGAGTCATAAATCTGACCGTTGATTGGAGTAGATAGGGCCCCCACTCATGTGTCAGGGAGAAGAAGTCAAGGATATTCATCACTTCGACAATCCCAAAATTGGCTTCTGACAAGAGAACTGTTTCTTCTGATACTTCGCCTAAAATTGCTCGTACAATATCATCCTTGGAGTTTGAGAAACCTATAGCCTACATAAGAATTAGAATTAAGCCAAGGGTTCGTTTGATTGTAAGGGTGAAAAATTGGTGGAAAGAAAATGAATTTTAGGAAAAGTAATTGCCTAAAAATTGTTTTTCAAGAAATTATTAATTAAGTGTGTTTGACTTATATAATTTTTCACCCTAGAAAATTTTTAAAATTTGTGTTCGTTTGACTTTGTTTTATATAGAAATTATCTATTAAAATGATAATTTTTTCCACAATTGATCATAAAATTTGTTTTCATTACCAAAAAGTTTTTTAAAAAATTGTTTCTTGAAAAATCATTTTTTTTAATCAAAATTTAGTGTTCGTTTGACTTTATTTTACATGAAAATTGTCCATTAAAGTAAAAAATTTTTTTTTTTTTACAATTGATTATGAAATTTGTTCTCATTGTCAAAAAAAAAAAGCAAAAAAAAAAAAAAAAAA